AAAACTAAAAAAAATTTCTGCAGATTTTTCTGCAGATATTGATGATCTTCAAGAAATTTTTTTTATGCAGATTTGAAATCTGATTTTTTTTTACAGATTTACTCACAAATCTGTATTGAAATATCAATTTAAAAAAAAACGGAACTGAAATGTTGAGGGGAATAATCAATTAAGTTTGAAGAAGTTTGAAGAAGTTTGAAGATGATATTGATGTTCAAATTTTATCACAGATCTGCGTTTGATGATCAATTAAGATTGATGTTCAAATTTTGAAGTTTGAAGATGATGTTCAAATCTGATCTTGAAGATTTTTTTAGCGTTTGATAAAATTTGAACATCTTTAGATGATCTGAATAATCAATTAAGTTTGAAGATGATATTGATGATGTTCGGATTTTTTTTTAGATGATTTGAAGAAGAAGTTTTTGGTGAAAAACGAAATTCTTTTATTTTTTATTTTTTATCTGAGCCGTAGATTTTCAAAGGGCCACGTGGCTAAATCGTGGCCCTTAACCGGAAGACCGGAGGGATCCTTTGGCTGGAGAGGATCCGGACTCGTAAAGCACATGGGTGTGGAACTAAAGTCCAATATGTCAATACCTATGTGCTTTTTTGGGAACGGGACCAACCATACCATAACCATCACCCCTCAACATATTTAGGCCAAGTTGGACCATTTTAAAATAATTTATTTTTTTATTTTTTTTCATCACATCACTTTTTTATTTTTTTATATATTTTTTTGTAAAAAGATAAAAAGTACACTTATTTAGCTCATTCCAAACAACCCCTTAATTACAATTACGCTGGATTTGATTAAGAAATTTAGAAAGAAAAATAAAAAAGTTAAGTGAAATGTTCTCATAGTTTCACACATTTTCCTTTTTCGAATCTTCTCTCAAATTTCCTATCCAAACATAACATTAAAATCTCTTTTTATTTTTCTTTGAAACTACAAGATAGTGAAAAATCAGAAGAAAAAAATTTCAAAAGGTGGGGTAAGACTTGTTAAGGTAGGGTATTCTTTATAATTTCATAAACTTCATATTAAAAAAAAAAGGCCAATAAGTATTGTTTGGAAAATAATCACAAATTTATTTAATTTTTTTGAAAAATAAAACTAATGAAGTCATCTAGTTATACGTATCAAATTAATTTAATTTTTTCATAAATTAATTACACACAAATGTTTATAAAAACAAAGAGTAATGCTAGAGACCCACAATTTAGACCTCAAAAAACGATCACAGATTTACAATGAATGTGGTAAGGAAGTAGAACCACACATGATTAAGTATGTGAAAAATCAAAAGTTTACATCATTGTAAGTGAAATTGTGAGAGTTTTATTAGGGGTTTCAAACATTTTCTAAAAATAAAAGAAAGTATTAAAATAAAACCTGTGATATGTCTATAGGCTCAGTTGAACAAAATCGAACTTCCCTTTAATTAGAGAGAAACTGGATTTAAAATGAAACTATGGCCAGAGACGGGGACCATTTTGTCCCTTTTTGTTGGATTGAGAGACTTCATGCTGTGATTTTAGGCCATATTTGTTTGAATGAAAAATGTCTCGTACCTCAAATTTGTGGCTCAAAAGTGGCTCAAATTGCCAAAACGACGTCGTTTTGGCCATTTTTATGTTGTTCTGTACTCAAAATGACGTCGTTTTGGCCATTTGAGCTACTTTTGAGCCACAAAATTTGAGCTACGTAGCATTGTCGTTGTTTGAATAGACTAAATAAGGGGGGAATTGTAATCTATCGGATTATTAATTTATATATTATAGTCTCTGGACTATATAGTTTCACCATTTCTATTTCACATCCGCTAGGACACAATAGTCCAACATATATGAGCAATGGCATAGCTAGGAATTTAATGGAGAGAGGGCACAAATTAATGATAATATCAGTGTGTTTGGTTTGAGTTTTTTGGATTAAATTTTTTGAAAATTGAGTTTTTTGATTTTCGTATTTTTTTGTTTTTAGTGAATATTTTTAAAATTTTAAACATTTTTTTTACTTTTTTAGATGCACTTTACTTAGATGTGTTTAAAAAGTAAAAAATTTGTGAAAAAATATTTTAAAAAATTAATAAATACATAAAAATACAAATAATGTACAGAATTTTCTTTTTTTTTTGTATTTTTGGTATTTAGTGAATTTTTAAAAGGTTTTTTTCACAATTTTTTTACTTTTTAGGTATATTTATGTTAGGTATGTCTACAAATATAAAAAATTGCTTAAAATATTAAAAAAATTTAGTAAAAATAAAAAAACACGGAAAACAAGAAAGTAGAATTTCTGAAAAATATTTTTGGAAAACTCTAACCAAGCAATTTTTTTTTTATTTTTTTTATTTATAATAAACAACAATGAAATATTACTAAACTTAAATATTAAGAGTCCATTTGGATAAATGTGAATTTTAAATTAAAGGATTTGAGATTAAATTTTATATAAATATTGGGGAGTAACTATTTATAGGTAGATTGGAAAATTAAAAAAGAAGATAAGTTGAGATATAAATAATATATTTTAGTAGAGAAATTCTATAAAACACACCATAAAAAAAAGTGTCTATCATATGTTGCAATTATGATCTTCGTAGTCTTTAATTATGACTTATTATAGTGTTAGATATAATTTAGTTATAACTTCTTGTGGTTGTTATCTTGGTTATGACTATATACCGAGTAATAGTCAGTTATGACTCATTTTAATATTAGTTATGACATATTGTAATTTTTTATTTTTTTTACAATTGAAGATGTGTTGCTTGATTATAATTTATATAGTAGTCATTTTAGTTATGAATGGAAAGAAACATATGGAGAACAAACTCTACATGTCAAATGTACCTAATAATCCAATACATTTCATATATCTTCATTGAGGTTGATTACGTTTGCATGTCAATAATGATAGACATCACCATTATATTGAAATTTTCATAAATAATATAACTTATCATAGTCTCTTTACTTTCAATCAAAATAACTATTATTGTTCTCATAATTTTAAAAATGTCATTGACATTTTACTTTAAATAATAACTACTCCAAACACACACCATATATATACCACACGTACATACACAAATTCATTGAATTTGGTACTTGATCATAGAAGTACTCTTGTAGACCAACAAGTGTAAACCCATCTCCAATCCCAAGAATGATGAATTGAGAAGCTAACCAGAACACGCTCATAGACAGATACCCAGAGAAATTCCCTAACCTAGAGAAATTCCCAGACAAACCTTTCTACAGAAATTCTCTCAAAGCTAACAATTCGAGCGGAATCAGTCTCAAGATCCTTGTGATACATGACTCTAAAGCTCAAGTGGTTATTTATAAAATACTTCTCCTCTTTGCTCTGTAAAAGCATACCCAAAAAAAAAAATTAAAAAATACGTATTAACAAAAGAACACTACAGCAGCAGTTGTCTATCGCTACTCACCCCTGCATAATTTCCTTTGAACCCCACACGGAAACCATGTTCATAAGTGGTTGACGGACTGCCATCCCTCCTTTGTCTCAGAACAGCGACTGGAAGATTATCCAGAATCCTGCAAACCCATCTCAGAATTTCAGTTAAACAGAAAACTATGTAAAATTCAAGGCTTGCTTAAAACTTACCCATATATATATACACACATTTAAGGCCTGCATAAAAGTTTATGCTGCCATTGGCAATAAAAACAACAAATAAATTTGCAGACAAAAACACATGGCAACAAGGACATCACAAAAAATCCCAACAATAATTTATCAATGGATAGGACTCTCAATACTCTAAAAAATTACTAAACAAAGGAAGAAAAGTAGGATTCATAATTCACAGCCATGGATCTGGTTTCGAGAAATTGGAGTCTCCTACTGACTGTTTGTTTCTCGGCGACGCCGTTGAAGGTCGGATCCGGTGAAGCTGGAGCTCAATCGGTTGGAGAATGAAGTTAGGGGTGAGGAACAAGAGTTCATCTGGACAGATATGAGAATGGAGAAGTTTAGAGAGAGAGAGAGAGAAAGATGAGTTTTGATTTGGTAAGGTCAAATTTCTCTGTGATTGTTTAGGGACCTTAGACATTAAAAAATAATTTTGTGGATCTCTTCCATTATGAAAAGTGGGAGAGGGACTCTAGACCAATTTTCCCATTTTTTTATTTAAAATATTTTCTTAATATTTGAAAAAAAAAAAAAATCCAAAAACCTAGGAAGGGCACGTGACCCTCCTGGCCCTTGTGTACCTCCGCCCCTGTATATGAGATTCATAATCCGATAAGACTCTTAATCCAACCTACATATTCTCAAACTCCATAGTGAATTAGACATAAAATCTAATGTCCCTTTCCAATCCTTCCAAACAAACACCCTTTCATTAGAATGGCCTACTGGCAAGCTATACTCAGCCCAAGCACTGCCATACATTTCTTAGGCCCAAAATCAGGTATATACTCGACAAAAAAGGTCCAGCTTGTAATGGACAGTGTGAATCCGTGTCAGTCTCCTGTTTAGTTATTGAAAATGGTACAGACAAAAAGAAAAGGAAATTAAAAAACAAAAGAACAAAATATGTTTAATGTTAAGTTTTCAGAAAGTGTGTGCAGAAATGAAGAAAATAAAAAAAAAATGGAGATAGAGGTGGCAAACCCAACTTAAATCCATGAACTCGTCTAATTAAGTCAATTTAGAACTCACTTAAATCTGTCCATATTATAAGGTGGGTTTTAATTGGTTCCATTCCTTAGTCCATTCGCATAGACATGGATATACTACTGCCAGGCCAATGTGACTATCATGATATAGGGTGCTAAATAATGGAAGGAAAAAAAAAAAAAAAAATTTTCAACATATTTTTCCCTCCCTAATTTACATGGCAACCAAATAATGAAAAAATTGTTTCCTTTGCATTTTATTTTCCATTTCCCACGACAAATATACCAACCAAACAAAGCCTAGTTAGCTAGTTGATAGAACTCAACACCTCATAAAAAAATAAAAAATAAAAAGTTACGCTGTTTTATAGTCTGGATTAAAAAGAAAAAAGATGCAATGTCTCATCAACCAAACCAAATTAGGAAAGATGCTACATATAATTAGATGATTATCATATAATTAAGATGTGATTTAACAATACTCAGATCCTCTGCTTAATCAATAAATTTCAACATATATATGTATCTTCTTATGCGTCAACTCTATATATATTGACTGATTGGTTGTGCACCTTCCAGTTGTTCCCGAAACCAATTAATCAACAACTTGTTTGCTTTTTTCCTGTTGCAGACTAACTAACTTTGTGTATACACTCTCTGCTCTGCTGATGAGCTCCTCGTGGCTTCCACTTTCAACCACCTTCCCCTGTTTCAGCACAGCAATACAGTCTGCATCACAAATTGTCGACAACCGGTGAGCCACCAAGATCGTCGTTCGACCTTCCATAAGCCGATCAAGCGCTTCTTGGACCTGTCTCTCCGACGCTGTGTCCAATGCACTTGTTGCTTCATCCAAAAGAAGAATTGAAGGGTCTTTCAATATTGCTCTGGCAATAGCAATCCTCTGTTTTTGTCCCCCTGACAACTGCACTCCTCTATCACCCACCATAGTTTGGTATCCTTCGTGCATTCTACTTATGAACCCGTGCGCGTTTGCTGCTTTTGCAGCCTTCATTATCTCAATCTCCGTTGCCTCTCCATTTCCATACTTGATGTTGTCGTAAATCGTGGTTGAAAACAATGCCGGTTCTTGCTGTACTAGGCCTATTTTCATCCTCAATGATCTTAAATTTAAGGCCTTAATGTCAAATCCATCGATCAGGACCGTGCCTGAAGTGGGATCATAAAATCTCATCACCAGCGCAATCACAGTGCTCTTCCCTGACCCGCTTTGTCCTACTATTGCCAGGCTCTTTCCTGCTAAAATCTGTAAATTTAAGTCCTTGACAATGGCTATGTCAGGCCTTGTAGGGTACCTGAAAGTCACATTCCTTAATTCTATGTCTCCATTGATTTGAGTCACGACCCTTGATCTAGAACCATTGGGGTCTATTGTTGTTTTCCTCTTGAGAATATCAAAAACTGACCCGAGTGCTTGCGATCCCTTTACAATGTCAGGGGCAAGAGCGAGGGTCTCTGCCACTGACATTGCCGTGATTATCAAAACCATGAAGGCCTTGATGATGTCTCCGAAGTTTGAGTCCTTGCGCTTGATCAGAACTGATGCATACCAAAGGCCAAGAGCATAAGAACAGAAGGCGAAAAGCTGTGACACACCGTACCCAAAACCTGATATGTGTCCGCGCAGAAGTGCCTGCTTGTTTGGTTGGTTTAGTTCAGAAGCAAACTGGATTGAAATCCTTTCTTCAGCAGCAAATGCAGCAACTGTACGGATATTGGCAATCGCTTCATGTGCCACTGCAGTAGCTCGTGAGTAGGCACGGGTATAATCTCCTCCAAATCCCTTAAGAAAAAATTGCTGTAAACATTTAAAAAAAATACACCGTTACAGTTATTGAGATAGAACATAATCATGAATTAACTGAGTTCCGTACCATTCTAACAATGCCAGACAATGGTATTGATAGGTAGTAAAAGGTTTATGCCCCTAAAGTATATTTTTAGTCCATTAACTTGTGTTAATTGACTGTCTTTCTCCTCCTCTTGGCAATTAAATTCTTATGAATCCCTAATTTATTTTGGGATTAGTTTTTATGTACGACACACTTGCATAAATTGAAGATAATCCAGTCTGAACTAAACATAGATTTTGGGCATAATGATTTTTGACTTACCTCGGCTATGGAGGATCCAATAAGTAGCGGAAAGGTGGCAATAACAACAGCTGCTAAGCGCCAACTTAACACAAAGGCAATACCAAATGCAGTGACAGTGAGAGCAATGTTCTGCACAATCGTTGATAGACGATCAGCAAGTGCACTTCTTACTAATGTTGCATCTGCTGCTAGCTTTGATATCAGCGAGCCAGTATTATTCTCATCCAAATCAAACCAACCAACCTCATTGGAAAGAATAGCTACAATTCAAAACAACAATCAAGATCTGACAATGATTTACAATGCAAGGAAGGGAGGCTATATATAGAATGGAAAAGAACCTGAGAACATCAATAGGCGAATGCGGGTAGTGAGGCGCTCTCCCATTAAAGTATAGTAGTAGTGTTGTAACAAGTATATTGGAATTGTAATGATAGCTACACCTAAAAAAATTAGTGAAACCTGTCGGACTTCGTGTTTGATTTGAGCAACATCAGGGGAATAGAATGCCGTCAAGATGTAAGTAATTCCAAAGGCAAATAGAGGAGCCTCCATGCCTGCCAGAATTGCACCCACTGACCCAAGCATTGCATACGGCCATTCTGGCGCATTTAATTTAACTAAATCCCATACTGTTGGAGTTGAAGCAGAGCTCGGTGAGGCCACATTATGATCATTTGGTAGTGGCTCTCTTACGTTGATTTGCTTAAACCCCTGGTGATGAATTTGAGTGTTAGGGTATTCGTGAGAGTTAGAAACCTCAGAAGTTCCACTGGCATTGTTTGGACTTTTTGTGTGTTCTGTTACTTGCAAGCTGACTAGAGTTGCATATTCCCCACCTTTGGATATCAGCTCTGAGTGAGTCCCACTTTCAACAACCTGCCCAATCTTGAGGACAATGATTGTGTCTACATCTCGGATAGTAGATAATCTGTGTGCAACGACCATTGTTGTCCGATCAGACATTACTTTATTGAGTGCTTGCTGAACAATGAGTTCTGATTCTGCATCAAGAGCACTTGTTGCCTCATCTAGAAGTAATATCTTTGGGTCTCTCAACATTGCTCTTGCAATGGCAATTCTCTGTTTCTGCCCTCCAGAGAGCTGAGTTCCTCCCTCTCCCACCTAAAGTCAACAAACTGTCATATATAACATATGAAACACATTACAACTATGCACACGGGACAGAAGATGCAACACGGATACGCTGAAATGACAATTTTTTAGATGCGACATATAAGGGACACGGGAAAAAAAATATAATTTTATATATTTCATATATATGAATATTTTATTCAAAGATAATAAAAAAATGAAATATAACCCTAATTCATGAAGTTTAGGATGAGATATTAATATGTATAAATCTAAATTATTTTTCTCTTATACTATATTCTTGATCCTTTAAGTTATTTTGTTCAAACTTATAATTTGTTTCATAAGTGTTTTAAGTGATGGACATGTGTGTTGTGACACATTTGGACGCGTGTTCAACACTCATCGAGAAATATTCGATGAGGGTCGGTGTCCGTCATGTATCCCACATGGACACTACAAATACATGACAACTTCTTAGAAGTGCCCGTGCTTCTTAGACTAGCCTCGAGGAGGACTACCTCCACCAGGACATATACAACTTTTACATGTCACTTTAAGCAGAAAAGGTTTAACAACAATACCTACCTGAGTATCATAACCATCTGGCAAGTGTTGAACAAAAGAATGTGCATTTGCAGCTTTGGCAGCTTCAATGATTTTATCCATATCTGCATCTTCTTTGCCATACAAAATGTTCCCAGCTATACTTGTCGCAAAGAGTGCCGGTTCTTGACTAACCAACCCCATCTGTTCTCTCAACCATTTTAACTGAAGACTCCTCAAATCATGTCCGTCCAACAATATTTTACCTATTGAATGGCAGTTCATAAACCTCTTGCAAAATTGAGATATATAAAAAAAAACAAAATGACCGCTAGGATAGGTTTTAGTACCTGAAGTAGGATCATAGAATCGTTGAATCATGGAAATAATGGTGCTCTTTCCTGAACCACTAGGACCAACAACTGCAAACCTTTTTCCAGCACCAACTGAAAAGCTTAGATCTTTGAAGACCATGTTAGGTCTAGAGGGATAAGCAAAACCAACATCACAAAATTCAATATGCCCAAGCACCTTTGGTAGTACTATCCCATCATCTGATCTTTTAGAAGAGTTAGAATCTCCTTCAATCATGCTTATGATATTTGCAGCAGCAGCCCGGCCTTTCGCTATGCCAGCCAGGCTTGGAGCAGCTTGACCGAGAGCACTTCAGAGGAAAAAAAAAAAAAACCAAGAGGTGAGCAACGAGTAATAGAAGCGAAGTAGTGCTATGCATTTGTTTTTTATTTTTTTGGACTTACAATCCACTGAAGATGACATTGATGATTGTTGTGAATGCTTTGCCACCATTAGTGTCTTTATGCCTGACAAGTATACTGGCATACCAAAGAAGTAATGCCCAGGCACAGAACAACAAGCCATAGGTAAAGCCAACACCGAGTCCTTTTGCGAGCCCACTCTTCTTCCCCAGTTTAAGGGCATTTTGAAGTGACTTGGAGTATGTTTCAATTGCTCTTTCCTCACCCACAAATGAATATACAGTACGAACCTGTGAAATTACCTGGTCGAAACAAAAGAAGCAACAAAAAAAAAAAAAGGGGGCATCAATTCTTGACTCTTTAAATATGTAGAAAGAATAATTAATGAGCTGAGGAGAGAGGCACACGGTTTACCTCTTCTGCTACTTTCCCGGCTTCAGCATAAGCAGCCTCGCCTTTTTCTGATAAGTTAGACATGATAATAGTATAAGTCCCTCCTGCAACAGCTATCAATGGAACGACAGCCAAGGTGAGAAGTGTAAGCTGCCATACTGAAGTAAATCCAAAGGCAAACCCAACAAAGAATTGGGAAAGATAACGCAAACCATGGCCTATCTGCATCGAGATAATGATAAAAAAAGAAAAGAAAGAAGAAGAAGAAGTATGCAATAAGTACTTTTTGTCAAAATAGTGGGCAGGAAATTAGTAAGCATACATCCGTGTGCTATATTGCTCATGCACCTTGTCGCCAATGGCATCCTGCACCAGTATTGCATCACTTGATATGTGAAAAATTATATTTTTGTCCCTGGCTTCTGTATCAAAAAAACTAATGTCCTTTTTTAACACTGACTGTAGATACTTCAACCGTAAACGAGCAGTTTGTCTCTCCCCAGTCTGCATCCAAAATGCAACACCTGAAACACACAACAAGAAAGGAAATCAAATGTATTGACACAAGAGAGTGATTTCTAAAAGTATGGCAGCCCAATGAAAAGAAAAAGGAATTCACATACCCATCCATGCTGATACCAGCACAGCAAGTCCAAGATAGACCAAGTACAGAGCATGCTGTAATTTTGAGGGAAAAATATAGAAGTGAGTGTTCAACACAATTGGAGAGAGAGAGAGAGAGAGAGCTAAAATTGAAATTAAGGCCCTGTTTGGGGACTTACCTTTTTAGCCAAAAAGTCAACAAATCATACCAAAAAGTCAAAAATTCTATTTTCTCTCTACTTTTTGCATATCTTTTCGTAATTAGCCAAAAAGTCATTCCAAACATATAAGTTTTTTTTACCTACTTTTTTAGCCAAATAGCCAAAAAGTTACTAAATTAGCCTGTTCCCAAACGAGTCATAAGTTTGTAGTTAAACTGTCCTAGCTTTAAGTACTAAAATCTTGTGATGTCGATGGCCGAAAAGGAGAGAAGTATTTAACTCCACATTGAAACCTCATCGATCAAATTAATTGATTTCACTTCAAGTATATCATCAAGACTTGAATCCATCCATGAGGGGTACAAACGGACTTTAGATTACAGCAAGTTTGTACTGCTTACAGGCAGAAATACTGTGAAAACCCACAGCATTGCAGTTAGATGTAGTTGTGCCATGCTTCCACACCAAAGTTCTGAATTTTAAAAAACAGACATTTATTTTGTTTCCCGAAATAGAATGATCTATTTCCGAATACAATGTAGTTGAAGACAACTGATTTGAAGATATTGACATGATTCAGAATTTAAAAAGTGGGGGTGCCCATTTTCCCAATATTGTTTGCCATCAGATTTGATTAAAATGCAAATTTATTCTCAAAGACAGTAATTAACAAATTGGTGGAAGCAAAAAAAGAACATAAAGAGAGACCAAATTAAAGAACAATGGTGAGAATATAAAATGTACCTTGGAGACTTCTGAAGATAATCTATGAGGGTCTGAAGAAAGATGCCCCAAAGAATCAATCATGCGGCCAAACAAAACGAAGAACACAGGAAGTGCAGCGCCATGAATGCAAGCCCCAATGCTTCCAAAGAACATCAAAACACAGTCCAGTGTGTCTGCTGCAACAAATAGTCCAGTGAATGAAACACTCTCATTTGTGGTTGAATTTGAATCTGATGACGGATCTGATTTGGGAAGCGTGTTCTGCTCAGAATTTTTGACACAGGGAAGTTCCAGCTCTTCCATTGTAGAGTATGGAGGTGAAGTCAGAGTGGAGATTGAGTTTGTATAAAGAAATGAGACAGAGATGGAAATAGAGAATGAAAGCTACTTGTCTCATGGAGTGCTCGTGGAGGATGGGTAGTCAATTCCTGCCAATAAATGGCAATGGTTTCTGGTTGACCAACCAACAGCTAGGCTTCTTAACTGTAATTTGAATTTTTTGCAATGTTTAACGTAGTGCACCGATGGGTAGTCAATTCCTGCCAATAAATGGCAAAGGCCTTTGCCAGTGTATCATATTGGTCACACAAAAACACTACGTGCATAAAAAGTTTACGTGCACATAGTGCACCGATGCCTCCCAAAATGTTTGAAATTATAAATGTGAATATTTTGTGAGTCATTGGGGCATTATATGCGTGTATCATTGCTGATCACATTTAGTTTTCTTTTCGTTCTATGGCTGTGGATTGTGGACCATGGATTCCCCATTTAATTGAATAATTACAAATTTAGAATTAAAATGACAACCAAACCTGTGTGATCAAGCTCACACTTGGTCACCTTGATGCTTGGTGGGTAGTTGTTGCCTCTCATAATCCCAAGGTCAAGGGCTCAAGGTTTGGTTAGTGGAGGAGGGAAGAGATGCGTCAACAAATTAATATTTTAAACTCTTAAACTTTAAACAATTTAATTAAGTACTAAAACTCATAATGACATCTTAATTTACAAACTTTGAATTTTGAATTTTGATGACGTATTATAATCTCATACATTGAAATGAGGATCACCAACTGCCGTCGTGAAAGCTACTTATTTGTGACGGTTTAATCTGCCATCGCAAAAGATCATATTTTGCGACGGGAAACGCGCCGTCGCAAAAGGTTCCATGTTTTATACTCCCTTTTCTTGTACTGCTATCAACCATGATTTCTTCAACTGAACCTATATAAAATAAAGATCACAACAATACTAAAATGAAATGAGCCGATCAAATTTATTCAATATAAATTCAGACCATACACTTCATTTTCGAAATACTTTTTCAAACTACATAGCTTTTCAGTATCACTAAAACCCACAAAAGTGTTTATAAGAGCATGACAGTGCCAACCAACCTTTTATTGTTGAGAGGAGTGGTGTGGAAAGAGTCTGCAGTTGCACTTCAAACTTCAAACATCACGAGGGTACAAAAACATGGTATTGCCAGCACATAATCTAACCACTCCAGCTGTACAAAATGAAGATGATAGAGAGAGCGGAGCAGAGTATTGGTGATGGGGACTCAATTTCCCTTTTGTTGAAAAAATTATTGGTTAATCTTGAGACACCACGTGTTCATTCCATACATCAATCACAATTTATCATTGGGACACCACGTGGCGGTACCTCAAGACCAACCAATAACGTCTCATTTTGTTGGAGGTTAGAGCATTTCTAATGGTTTGCTATTGGAGTTCCTATTGCTATAATATGACAATAGTGGTGCTCCAATGGTGAATATAATAGCTACCAAATTTGACAAATGTTAAAACTTGTGTCAAATTTGACATAAGTTTTGGTAGTTGCCATATTCACCAACTCAGCCAAAACCAATCATTTTCCTCCCTCTCTCCCTTCCAGCAAAACAAATAATTTTTTGTAAAATTACAATTTTTGCAGAACCAAACGCATAAGTTAGTGTGTTCGGGATGATTGGACGGACGATCGTCCCGAACACACTAATTTTTGTATTTAGTTCTGTCAAAATAGCATCTGACTATTGGAGTACCATATTGCTATTATTCTATCATATTATACTATTTATTGCCAAATTATGACAATAACAATACTATAATATTTGCCAATGAAAATGTTTTTAGTTGTCGTTAGGACAGTACAAAATATCGCATAATCTGCTAAAAATGCACCGTTCCACATCAATCCGTACCGCTCTAATCGTGGGTTAAATTTTAAAATTTTTAATTCGCCAATCGAACCGCTCCGCTATAGTTAATATATATATATATATTTTTAATTTCCAATGAAATATCAATGTAAAAATGAGTATGGCAGAGGTTTAAGATATGAAATTTATTACAAATATGTGGTTATATATATAAAACATATTAGATAGAATTACTTTATATTATATATCTAAAAAATATTATACAAATTAGTGTTATATATTATGTAAACATATGATAATTAGTTAGAATATTCTTCAATCCGTCAAAAGTCGCCTAAACCGTAATTTGTCAATCCGTTAATCCGCTAATTTACCATTTAATTTATAATTTTATTCTCAAACCGTCCAAACCATACCGCACGCCCCTAGTTGTCATTATAATCATAGACTTGGCAGTCCTTTACCAGTCCAATTTCTGAAGAAAATTCATTGCACATGCTGAGTAATAAATCAAATGGGAGCAGCTTGCCTCCGGTTCGGATTGGATTGGACAGTATTGTTCGGTTCATAGGAATCCATCACGGGTCTCATTTTAATAATTTAAATCGTTTAATGTGTAAAACTCGTCAAGTACTATACACTTGTAAAAAATCACGTTGATCAGATATTGATAATTATCTCACTGGATCAGTTTTTTGTCAACCGTTAATTTGTTCACCGTCTATTTTTTTTTTAATACAAAACTGATTTGATCACATAGTTATCGATATCCGATCAACGTGATTTTTTCTAAACATATAGTACTCAATGAGTTCTACACATTAACAGTTTAAATTATCAAAACAGGACCCGTGATAGACCTCCACGAATCAAATAATACCTTCTAGTCCGATCTCGGACTGAATGCAAGCTGCATCCAAATCATATATATCTAGAAATAGGACCCATTACCCTTACGGGATGGGACCGCGATATAATAGATCATAATGGGATTCGAAACTTAGATGCCATATCCTCTCCAAGTTAATATTTCTTAAATTTTTAAATATTTTTTTGTGTGTGGGGTTTATTTGAAAAAATGTTTGGTGGTCTAAATTTGTGTGGTTCGAATAGTTCAAAGCAACGTCGTTTTATGTCTAAAACGATGTCATTTTAATACATTCGAACCATTCGAATCATAAATTTTCAGACTCCATGCATTACTGGCCTATTTGAAAGATTTCCGGAGGAACTGTGAATCGTTCAGTGATTACTACTACAATAATGGCAATGGGCAGAGAGAAATATAACTTTGCTAGTAGAATAATGTCCCTGAGACCATAGATCAAAAACCTAACGGGCAAATGTCTTACAGAATCCCAATCAAAGCCCAGGACATTTATTTGGATCAAACTAGAAAGAGAAAGTCTAAAAACGCAGAAAGTTTAACCAGAAAATAAAATTGATAAGTGGGTTAGATCTAGTTCTCCACTTGGCTTTGAATTTGAAGCAGTTATGTTGTGTTTGGTTCCGGGATTTGGGGAGGGATTTAGAAAGGGAAAGGGAAAAGGTGTGTGAAATTATGTGAAATGTAAGTATATTTTTTTCACATTTCACCTATCTTTTCCATTTCCCTTTCCAAATCTCTCCTCAAATCCCTCAATCAAACACAGCATTAATCTGTTTGTTAGGATACCTATGTGATTCCTTTGCATAGTGAGAAAAAAAAAAGGAAAAAAAAAAAAGAAAAAAGAAAAAAAAAAAAGAGGAAAAAAAAAAAAAAAAGAAAAAAAAGTTTATAACAAGTGTCAAAAAAATAAAAAAATAAAAAAATCCATAATGAGTGGCCTCCTCAGAAAGAAAAGTATTGGTTGGCCTTATCTACGTCTACGTAGTGCTTTAATAGTATTGTAATTGATAAAAATAATATGATCTATGAACTTATGTTGGATAATTGATACAGGCGGTGTGACCTACAAATTTATATTGGTTGATTAAAAAATAAAAAATAAAATGATAAATTATGATGAGTGTGAGGCATATGACACATGGTACTTCAAAATCAACTAATAATTTTTCATTTAGAGAAGTAACTTTGGGTCAGGCCCATTTGCTATCTAGTAAAGAGTGGTGGGCCTCCATTTCATTTCTAGACGGGTATTTCATATCAAAATTTATTCAAAAAAAAATATATTTTTTAGGAAAATTTAATTATACACACTCTTCTCATCAACCTTCCTAAATTATATCATTTTTTATTTAATTATAATTAATTTTATTTTAATTATGACTTATGAAATATTTAATTATGTCTAATGTATTATTTAATTACAATTTTTTAAAATTATATTTATGAAAATATGAAATTATATATATATATATATATATTTAATTATAAAATACATAACACTTAAAAGGTGTGGACCATAAATTTTATTTTTTTCTTTTTTTTAGTACTTCGAAAACGTTTCAAAATATATTTCACAGTGTTTGAAAATGAATTTTTTTAATAATTTTTGATTTTTTATGAAAGATAAAAATAGAGAGAGAAAATTAACCTTTTACAATAATTTAAATTTTTTTTAACTAAGTTCTTTAATTTTTTAACTATTTGGTGACTTTCCAAACCTTAAGTTTAACTCATTTACATTTTGAACTAATATTTATGTGTTGACTTGTTTATTTTTTATAATATAGTGTAAATTATTTACACAAACAAATTAAATTAATTAAACCTTCATAGTCACATAATTTGTATTAAAATAAGACACATTTAACAAATATCCCTTCCACATTGTTTAATATTGAAAAATATGTAAAATGTGTCTGGTTACCAAATACCTTGAAATAAATAAATAATCCATTCTCAAAATTACAATTATTATTATTTTTTATAAAATAAATGTGAGCCAAGTATACAATTACTATTATTTAATTCAATTAATTTATATATAACTAATTTCGATCATCCAGAAAATTCATCGGCAGGTACTGCTATGCCCAAGCATCAATTGTGGCTTTTCTGGTAACGTCTTGATAAAAACCCACTACACGTTTTCCTCGCGAGGGAGGGAGGAATGTATTACATAACAAGAAAAGGATAATTTATTATACACAATAAATAAACTCGGATTAATCAAACTGCAAGCTAATTCAATGTTTTCAACACGGGCTAATAGAATCACCAAACACTGAGAATTACAAATCAAAACACAAACGAAAAGAGATAAACACTAAACGTAAACTGCATGCAAAACACAGACGGTGACCACAAAATTACAAGCCCTCAGTTCTGCTTTTATTCACAGAATTACCCAAACTTGTCATCCTTCACCGGAGTCGGAGAATCCGCCGGAGATTGTCCGTCGCTCCGCCATCGATTCCGGCAGCCTCAGGGTTGCTGCAACTGAGCTTCGGCCTGAGTGAAAAAGTCGGCAAAGGCAAGCTG